CTCAATAGTAAATGCAGCAAAATGAAAAACAGACAAGTGGAACTTAATTAAAGAGCTTGTTACAGAAAAACAAACTATCAACAAAATAAACAATCTACAGAATGGGAGAAAATACTTGCAAACTACGCATCTGAAAATGACTAATATCCAGAATCTATAAGAAACATAAGCAAATCAACAAGAAGAAAACAAATTACCCTACTAAACAGTGAGAAAATAACATAAACAGACACTTCTCAAAAGAAGTCGTACTATTGGCCAACAAGCATATGAAAAAATGCTCAACACCCTGATCATCAGAGAATGCAAATCAAAACCATAATGAGACACCATTTCATACCAGGCATAATAGCTATTATTAAAAAGTCAAAAAAATAACAAATATTGACAAGGCTTCAGAGAAAAGGAAACACTTATACACTCATACACTTACGGGAATGCAAATTTGTTTAGACCATGTGGAAAGCAGTTCGGAGATTTCTCAAAGACTGAAAACAGAATTACAATTCAACCCAGCAATCCCATTACTGGATATGTACCCAAAGGAAAATAGATTGTTCTCTCAAAAAGACACCTGTATTCGTATGTTTATTGCAGCACCATTTACAATAGCAAAGACATGGAATCAACCTACGTGACCATCAACAGTGGATCAGATAAAGAAAATATAGTAGACATATACCCTATGGAATATTATACAGCCATAAAAAAAAAAACATGTCCTTTGCAACAAAATGGATGCAACTGGAGGCCATTATCCCTAGCGAATTAATGCACAAGTAGAAAAATACCGCACATTCTCACGATGGAAGCTAAACACTGGGTGCACAAGAACACAAAGATGAGAACAACAGACACTGAGGACTCCAAAAAGGAACAGGAAGGAAGAGGGGAAGGGCTGAAAAACTATCTATCGGGTACTATGTTCACTACTTGGGTGATGGGATCTTCGGAAGACTAAACCTCAACATCACAAAATATGCCCACGTAAGAAATCTCATGTGTACCCCCTGAATCTAAATAGTATAAAATGAATCAAATAAAGTACGTACCAATGTACACACATTCAAATTCATAAGACACATTCTGTGGAAAAATCAAATTGTTTTTCCTACTATAATCTCAGAAAATGCTTCTAAAATCAGATGTGCCAGGTACAGTGGCTTACGCCTATAATCCCAGCACTTTAGGAGGCCAAGACAGGAGTACTGCGTGAGCTCAGGAAACCAGCCTGGGAAATGGAATGAAACCTCATCTCTACAAAAAAATCAAGCTGGGCATGGTGGTGCATGCCTATAGTCTCAGTTACTCCAGAGGCTAAGGTGGGAGGATCCCTTGAGCCCCAGAGATCGAGGCTGCAGTGAGCTGTGATCCCACCACTGAACTCCAGCCTGGACAACAGAGTGAGACCCTGTCTCAAAACAATAAACAAACAAATAAATAAATATATAAACAGATGTATAGTTTCCCCCCATACCAGCAAGCAATCAATTGTGCAGCAGGCACCACCTGGGTGTCCTCCAACCCCAGTTCAGTTTCAACACCATCGACCTGGAGATAGTGTCAAATCCCACAGGTTGAGGGTTCAGTCCCACTTTGGGTGCCAATAGCAAGCCCCAGGTTGTTTTTCCTGTGCTTTTGACAGACTATTAATCAGGGTTCCTGTAATTCCCTCATTGGGTTCAATTAATTTGCTAGACCTCACAGACCTCAGGGAGACACTTTATGTACATTTACCCATTTATTATAAAGGATATTACAACAAATGTATATGAAGAGATACAGACAGTGAGGTATGGGAAAAGGGGCTGGGACTTCCATGCCCTCCCTGGGCATGCTACCCTCAGGAATCTCCGCATGCTCACCTATCCTGCAGCTCTCTCTGAACCGTGCGCTTTTGGGTTTTCATAGAAATTTCATGAAAGAGGCATGATTAAACCATTGGCCACTGGTGATCCACCTTCATCGCCTCTCCCTCTCCCTGGCAGCTGAGGAGTGGAGTTTAAAGCCCCAATCTTCCAGTCTTGCCGTGGAGATTCTGGTGACCCGCGCCCTATCCTGAAGCCTGTTGGAGGCTGCCAGCTATCAGTCAATACATCAGCATGCAAAAGGCAACACTTTGGAAACTCTACAGATTTTAGGGGCTGTATATGCCAGGAACTGGGTCAAAGACAAAGGCCATGTGAACAACCCAGCAGTAGATAAAGATAAAGCATACCATTTCATTTCGTAAGGCCTTCCAAAACAAGATAAACCAAACAAATAATTGAGAAAGGGGTAAGCAAAGAAAGATTACTTTTACAACAGAATAATGTGTAATTGAAAGGAACACAACAGTGTGTATATAAAGAGTTAAACCAAGCCAGGCACGATGGCTCATGCCCGTAATCCCAGCACTTTAGGAGGCACAGTCAGGAGGATGGCTTGGGCCCAGGAGTTCAAGACCAGCCTGGACAACATAGTGAGAACCTGTCTCTACAAAAAACAAAAACATAAAAAATTAGCTGGGTGTGGCAGCACACAACTGTAGTTCCAGCTACTCAGGAGACTGAGGTGGGACAACTGCTTGGGCCAAGGAGGTCAAGGCTACAGTGAGTCACGACTGTACCGTAACCGAGTACCCTCATTTTTCCAAGAAAAAGGGGGTGAGTTACTATTTTTTTCTCTTATTTTCTCTTTTCTCCATTTTCCCCCGTTCCCTACTTCCTACTTGGCCCTTTAGAAATACACTTATAACCTTTTACCTTCCCTTCCCCAGACACTGTCTACAGGGCAAGTTCATCTATGTGCTTGGAGCTCCAGACGGGAATCTCACCTGCCAGGAGGTTGCCTGGAGACAGCAATCAGTCTACAACCCACAGTGCTGCTACAACGCTGTCTCCCACCCGGAGAGTTTCAGCCACTTTTACAACCTAGTTCTGCCCACGAAGGCACCAGTGGTTGCCAGCTCAACCCCTCGGTACCTAAGGCACAGAAGCAAGTTAGGGGGACCCCCACCTGCTTGCTTCCTCTCCTGCGTGCCATTCATGCCAAGCTCCCTTTTTAAAGCGCCTGCTTTCTGCTCCAAAAGCAACGCAGTACCTTAAGGCAGGAAGCCTGTACTTCTTCCCCAAAGCTAGCTTTGGAATTAAAAAGCCACCGTCTTTCTACTAGACCTTGCTCTTGTTAACGGAACTCTGCAAGCAGCGAGCAACTGAACCTGCATGTCAGTGACAGAGCCGCTGTGCTCCAGCCTCGCTCCAGCAACAGAGTGAGACCCCGTCTCAAAAAATGTAACAAAAGTTAAAAAGAAAATAAACTGCACAATACAAAATAGCTCCTGAATTCCAGGAACAGAAAATGGAGCAAAATATAAAAATTCATTTCATATATACACATCTACAAAGTAATGCAACCCACTCAGACTCACAAGGAATAAGAAAATGAAAATGCAATGGGGTGCATTATCTCCAGATTTTCATAACATAAAATGAACACAGTGGCAAGTTTGCTTAATGAGGGGGAAATCTGATGTGGTATTGGTGCGAGAGGCCGCCTCTGCACCTGGGATAGGGATAGAATCTTGCCAGATCTAGCAACATGGGCAATGCACCATCCTAGAAGAGATCACTCTTCCCATCGCCAAGCCCGGAGGAACCCTCCACGATCTGTAGTGAAGTCGGCATGGTCACAGGCAGCCAGGGTGGCACCTTTTTTCTTCTCTTTGAGACAAGGTCTGGTTCTGTCACTCAGGCTGAAGTGCAGTGGTGCTATCATGGCTCACTGCAGCCTCAATCTCTGGGGTTCATGATCCTCCCACCCTGGCCTCCACAAGTGCTGGGATTACAGGTGTGAGCCACCATGCAGCACCCTGTGTGGAATTCTTCATAAAAGTGAGAAAGTTAAAAGATCCACCTGTCTTCATTCCCAGAATGCTCCAACAAGGATGTAGAAAAGTGAGCTCCTGTTTCCTAACACGAAAACATGTCAATGTTCAAAACTTGCAGGTTAACACATCACAACCAAACATTCACTGAGGAATTTGTTGAAATCTCATAATGATGTCAAAATACATTTCTACAGGACTCGCACTGACCCTTCCCACACAACTGAGAACAGTGGCTTCCCACTGAGATGTGAGGGAGGGTGGAAGGCTGGACAGGAAAAGGGATGCTTTACCTCTCGGCGCATAAATGTATTATTTCACTATAAAACAAATATATACATGATGCCATGTTTAAAATAAAAGAAACGAAATGTTGACTCATAACCGGTAAAACAAAAATACAGTTCCAGTCTCTCTAACGGCAAGGTTGTTCTGCCATATACCATTCTCACCTGCAATACCCGACGGACAAAGCTTCTTGTAAGAGCATCACAGTCTCCATGGGATAGAGTTTCTGAGACTAGTTTAATGAATCTTGTTACCCATTTATGTTGATGTCATACATTAAACTGGATGATGGAATGAAAGAATCATCTATCTCCAATATCAGCGTCTAAATTTTCCATTCCGTTCCCAGTCTTTACGAGTTTGGAGTCGGAAACACAATGACTCACTTGTTCGGCTTCAAATGCACTAAAAATGAGGCAGGAAAGCTTTCCTCATAGTGTTCTTATTCTACGCTAGTGAGCAGGTGCTTGTGCACAGTAATACCTGACTTCATGGGCAGCTTCTGTTATCATGGTTTGCACAGAGCTGACAGTGCATCCAGATGTGACCCCTGAACAATCCCTGCTGCCCAACAGCACTGACACCACGGGACCCTCACCCCGTCTCCATCCATGTCTGGTGTGAGCCCTTCCCAGGACCATGCCCAGTGCAGCCTCTTCCCAAGTTCACGTCACTGGGTCCTGATGAGACGGAATCTAAGCGAGATGAGAGGGACTGAGGGAAGGCATGGGTGAGTGTCAGCAAACGTGTCAGGCAGGACGCTTCAGACTCAGAGAAGATTCGCAACGGCAATACCAGGCATTTCAGGAAGAAATAAAAGAACAATCCACCAGGAATATCACTTTACCTGAGTAAGGGCCATTCCTGACTCCTTTCCTTTCCTCTTCTTCCAGACTTCTTCCTTGGGTAACATAAAAGAATCTTTAGAAGTCAATACTGAATATCCAAAATATGCTGCTTAGGGCTGAGAATCTATACTTCCCCTTCATGTGCCACAATCACACGCACAGAAGATCTCACCCTATGGAAAGACGGTCCTCTGCGCCCCACTGCACTGGGGGAATACAGGCACGAGAAACTCCTACAGGAAGAAGTGAGTTTCCGACCCCTTTCTTCAGAACCTGCTCTCCTCCTGGAGAAGCCCACACATGCTGCAGCAGTCGGGAGCTGGGCAGGACTGAGCTTCCCTTTAGGGCACAGACCCAGCCCTGACCAAACCCCACGCAGAACACGGCCCCCTCACCTCTCTGTGGATCCCAGGCTGAGCTCAGCCTTCAAAACAAAAGACAGGGATTGGCACTATGCTGGCTACAGAACAGAGTCAACTTTAAATATTACTCGGCTGGGCTCTAAAACACTGAAATGAAAATATGTCAAGGGGGTACAAGAGATGTTTCTGCAAAACGCCTGGGCACTCTAACGTGAAGCCAGGGTTGGGCTGCACTGAGGGGGCGAGCCCAGCACAGCCCCACCTTCTGCCTCTGCTCTTCTGCTGGGGACTTGTTCTCACCAGGATCCAGACTGGATATTGAAGGAGCAAAAAGAATCACACCGAACAGGCAACATGGACCAGAGGTGGGGGTGAAGGTGGGGCTGCCAGGTCAAATGGGAGGCTGTGGGACATCACAAAGGTTTCCACGGAGAAAGTGATGTCGGAACAAAGACCTCAGGAAGAAAGGCTGCTTGTCACTTGCAGCTGAGAGGCCAGAGAGTTCCAGGCAGAGGGCCAGCCCACATGCAAGCCTTGAGGCAGGCGCAACCTTGGCTCCAGGAAAAGGAAAGGGGCCTGTGTGGCTGGAGCAGAGGGGGCGGGGAGGACACAGGAAGGAGATGACGTCCGAGAGGTCTTGAGGGGGCAGATCACACAAGGAGAGGTCTTCAAACATTCTTTCTCCCATACCTCAAAAGAATTTATGAAACCATGTATTTCCTCACCTGTTTTAAGTAAATGCGTAATTTTTTCTTTATTTTACAAAGTAACACACTTACAACATAATATCTTCCATATTTTACACATGACAACAAGTTCAGCTGAGCCCCAGGAAGTACAGGGTTGCCCTCAGCTGAGATGTGCAAGACTGCAGGGGGTGGACATGTTTGGAGGAGTTTGGGAAGTCACTTTTTTTTTTTTTTTTGAGACGGAGTCTGGCTCTGTAGCCCAGGCTGGAGTGCAGTGGCCGGATCTCAGCTCACTGCAAGCTCCGCCTCCCGGGTTTACGCCATTCTCCTGCCTCAGCCTCCCGAGTAGCTGGGACTACAGGCGCCCGCCACCTCACCCGGCTAGTTTTTTGTATTTTTTAGTAGAGACGGGGTTTCACTGTATTAGCCAGGATGGTCTCAATCTCCTGACCTCGTGATGCACCCGTCTCGGCCTCCCAAAGTGCTGGGACTACAGGCTTAAGCCACCGCGCCCGGTCGTCACTTTTATTTATTTAATTTATTTATTTATTTATTTATTTTTGAGACGGAGTTTCACTCTTGTTGCCCAGGCTGGAGTGCACTGGCATAATCTTGGCTCACTGCAGCCTCTGCCTCCCGGGTTCAAGCGATTTTCCTGCCTCAGCCTCCCGAGTAGCTGGGATTACAGGCGCCCTCTACTACGCCTGGCTAATTTTTTGTATTTTTAGTAGAGACAGGGTTTCACCATGTTGGCCAGGCTGGTCTTAAACTCTTGGCCTCAGGTGATCTGCCTGCCTCGCTTCCGAAGGTGCTGGGATTACAGGCATGAGCCAGCGCACCCAGCCAGGAAGTCACTTTTAGACATATGAAGATGGAGATGCCTGCTGGGATATTCCTGCAGAGAGTTTTGGAGACAACTGGACACAGGATTTTAGACCTCAGAGGGGGGTCTGCAGGGCACACGGAGCCGTGTATTAATAGGTGGGACATAAAGCCATGAGATGAGACAGTAAGGAAAGGCAGTGGGTGTGGAAGGAGACAAGAAGAGGTGTAGGGACTGAGCCATGAGCACTCACACATTCAGAGAACAGAAAGTTCTGGAGACACCAGAAGAGAAGAGGAAAGCAGAAAGTGATCAGAGTGGCAAGAAGATTGAATAGAAATGTAAAGGTTAACGGGGTGTCATAAAAGCCAAGACAACAGAAGAGGAAGTGATTGGCTGTGCTACATGCTACCGATAGGAAGAAAAAGATGAGGACAGGACATGAATAATGCCATTTAGGAATGGGGAGGTCACTGATGACTGAAAAAGGAAGAATCAGTGGAATGCTGGATGTGAAAGCTAGATTCAAGCAGTAATTCAAAGGTTTAAGCAAGAAATGGAGACAAAGTGGCTGCACATGGCTCACGCTTGTAATCCCAGTACTATGGGAGGCTGAGGTAGAAAGACTACTTGAGCCCAGGAGTTTGAGACCAGCCTGGCCAACACAGCAAGATCCTGTCTCTATATTTTTATTAAAAAATAAATAAATAAAGAATTGAAGACAAAGTAAAACTAGTTTTTAGTATATTATGCTCTTAAATAGAGCATAAATAGGTACTTATTACAGAGGGAAATGTAGTTGAGAGTATTTTTTTGTCTTAAAGATGGAAAAGTAGAAGAAAAAAAGGCTTTATTACACATTGGAGATCTGTTCAGAGAGGAAAAAAATTGTTCATACTACTCTGACACTCAACACACAACGTTTCACCTCTAGTCACCAAAATGTGTGTCATTTTCCCCACAATGGCAGGTTTTCCAGTGGACTCCCAGGTAGGGAGTCCCAGGTAGGGAGTCCTGCCGTTTTCCTCAATTCTGACACTGTCTACAAAATAGAATCAGACACCCAGCTTGAGAGCTCAGTCGCACAAGGCTGCCCTCTCTTCATATGCTGTACGCTCTGACTGACCTGATCGATGTGCTTCCCTAACACTTTCCTTGGGTTTGAATAACTAGCCAGCACAGCTTTTCCATCTGGCTGTTCATCTGTGTCCTTTGCAACATACTTTATAACAAATGAGTAAACCAAGTGTTTTCCTGAGTTCAGTGAATGACTGTGGCAGATTACTACAACCTGAGGAGGGGAGTCAAGTGAATCCCCAATTTACTTTTGGTCGCCCAGAAATTCAGGTCCCAACCTGTGACTTGTGACTGGCATTTGAAGTGGGGGCAGCCCTGTGGAACTGACCAACCAGTAAACAGCATCTGATCCTAATTCTAGTTGGACAGTGTCAGAATTGAGTTGAACTATAAGGTCACCCAGTTACTGTAGGATGGAAAATGCATTGCTGGTGGGAAGAAGTTCCTCCACATTTTGGTGATGAGTTTTCTGTGTTGCGTGTTCACTATTATATTGACTGTACACTATTATATTGACTATAATCAGCACCATATAATACTAAATATTATGTAATCAGTATTACATTAACTCATGTTCTCGCCTCTACCCAATCCCATCCCAGGGAAAGGGAGGAAAAGGGTGGCCCACAAATAAGTCAAGTCACTGCCCTCTGGCTGAAAAGGTTATAAGTGGAAGCTAACCTCTGATGCCATAATTATGAAATGCATAGCCTTATAGACAAGAGTTTTGCAATTCTCATCTTTATCTGTGTATTTTAAGCATATTTAAAACCTGTTCGATTATAAAGACAGAAATCAACATGTCACAACTAAGTTACCCATATTCAATCAACTCACCACTCACCTGAGCCAAGGTCCCCTCCTTCTTCCTTCCTGTGTGTTTCCCTCTCATTCTGTACATATCTCATCCTCACTTCTCTCTCTGGCTTTTTCTCTGTTTCCTCCCAGGTTTCTGCTCCTCATTTTGAGCCCCTCTCCTCTCCTGCTCTTTCTCCCCTTCTTCCCTCCTTTCCTTCTCTTCCGTCTGTTCTGCTCCATTCCTACACCTTCTTCCACCTCTTATTCCTCTCTGCCCAATCTTTTCATTGTCCCAGTCCCAATCTCCACATATTTCTGCCTCTTTCTTCCCTCATGTGTGCTCCCCGTCTGCTCCCCCTATTAAATCCCCTCTTCCCTGTTACACCCCTTGTCCCCATTCTCTGGCACCCCCAGATCCCAAGCCTCCCCATGCTGTGGTTCTCCCTATGCTCTCCTTGTCACCAGCTGTCCCGTCTTGCTGTCCCAGCACCACACTGCTGTCTGCCCTGGCTCCAAATCCCTCCTCCTGTCCCCCACTCTGTCTGAGGAGCCTCCCCCTTTCTGCCCCTCTCCCTATCTTGCTGTCTTCATCTCTCTGGAGACGCAGCTTTTCTCTACATTTCTCCAGTTGCTCCCTGCCCCACACGTTCTCAGCTTTGTCTTTCACTCTGTGTCTGTCTGCAAATTCCCCACCCATCCTCTGCGTTGCCATCTGTTCATGGTTCTCACCCATCCTTTTCACTCCTTCTCAGTTTTTCTATTTCCTCTCTCTTTCTCCTGATCCCGTCTCTCTCCTGATCCCCTTTGGCCACATATTTACAGGGAAGGGGATGGAATAAGATGCCCACCTACTGAAAGCACATGTTCTAGTGGAGTGGAATCTGGACAAAAGAACATTGGATGTGAACAGACAGGCCCGAGTCACCTCCTTCAACGCTGGGTCAGAGGAAGCCATGCTTATGAGGGGGAGGCCTGCGGGGCAGAGGGCAACGCTCAATGAGAGCAAGATGGGCAGGTGTCTCAGAGGAGGGGTGGATCTGCGGAATCCCAGGACCAGGGCGAGGACTCTTGCACTGGAGCTGCGGTGCTGCGGTGCAGATACAATGAAGGGTGAGTCTTAGGGGATCCAAAGGGTGAATGCACCTCGCGGGTGAGGACTTTACAAGGCACAGGGTGGGAAGTGAGTAAAGAGTTTTAAGCAGGAAATGGCGTGAAAGGTGTCTACATGGCCTGAAGGCAGAAATACTGCAAGCAGGACCAGCCTGTGTGGTTCAATGGGAAGTGACCCCTGACCTCTCATGAACATCTCTGAATTTACTTGGGGATAAGAGAGCCATGAGGGGATATTAAGGTCTATAGGACCCAGAGTGATGGCTCACGTCTGTAATCCCAGCACTTTGTGGGCTGTAATTCCAGTCGAAGCGGGAGGATCACTTGAGCACAGGAGTTCGAGACCAGCTCAGGCAACACAGTGAGACCCCCTCTCTACTAAATATATATATTTTAAAAATTATTTAAACGTGGTGGTACACACCGGCAGTCCCAGCTACTCAGGAGGCTGAGATGGGAGGATCACTTGAGCCCAGGAGGTCCAGGCTGCAGTGAACTACAATCACGCCACAGTACCCCAGTCTGGGCTACAGAGCCAGACCCTATCTTAATTTATATATACACATGTGTATGCATGTCTCTGAGGACTCCTGGAAATCAAGTCTGGATGTGCAGGAGCCTGGGGAGCCCAAGTTTAACCTAAACAGAGGGAAACTCACGTGTGAGGCCTTCACTCCAAGTAGCAGCTTCTAGAGGCTGCAGGAATCTGTAAGAAGAGCTGGGTTCCCTGCAGGCGGGGCCTGGGTGGGCGCCTCATGCAGAGGGGCCAGCAGTTGGGAGGAGCCTGAGGGATGAAGAGGGGAGGGCTTGGGGAAAGGCAGCAACACCTGCGCTTCCCTTTGTCTTGCTCCAAGGAGTCTGTTTCCAGAGCTTTGGAGGAGAGCCCTACCAGCGAGGCTGAAGCCACTCAGTGGGCTGGGAGCTAGGATCTCTCTAGGTCGTCGAGGGGGCAGTGTTCGGATCCAGGGATGTTTCTGCAATACAGAACATGAAATGCAAAACTTGAGCTTAGCAGGGAGTGTACAATTTCATGCTGACCAGCAGAACCTCCTTTCCATTTCTATTACCCACCCACCCAGGAAGGACAGTGTCAACCTTGGCTCTGGAGCAGGGCTAAGGCCTGTGATTAGTTAGGTCAATAACTTGCTTTTTAAAAAGCAGTAACTTTTTACAAATAGCAACAAATTCCATTGTTCTTCCTTTATCCCATTCCACTCTTGAGATGACACAGCCTCAAATACCTTTGAGACAAACTTTGTCATCATAATATGCTTATGTCAATAATTTCTACATATAGTGTAATTTGAAATTCACTTTACATGCATTCTGAAAGTACTTGAAAAAACAGAAGAGAAACAAAAAAACATAGATTACAATTTTTAAATAAAAATTGTTTTCTAAGTACTTATTTTAATCTGTTGTACAAAAAAAGCCTGTAAAATCGTCTTCAGAAAACATCTGCATTTATATTCACCTCAAGGGTAATTAATTTTGCAAGATTTTAAGCGTATTTGATAGGCTACTTCTTTTTTTTTTTTTGAGACAAAGTCTCTCTGTCGCCCAGGCTGGAGTGCAATGGCGCAATCTTGGCTCATTGCAACCTCCGCCTCCTGGGTTCAAGCAGTTCTCCTGTCTCAGCCTCCCAAATAACCAGGATTACAGGCACATGCCACTACACCCAGCTAATTTTTTTTTTATTTTTAGTAGAGACGGGGTTTCACATTGGCCAGGGTGGTCTCAAACTCCTGACCTCAAGTGATCTATCTGCCTTGGCCTCCCAGAGTGCTGGAATTACAGGTATGAGTTACCATGCCCCGCTGGATATTCTCCTTCATATGAACCCTATACAAAGTAAAACTAGATGATCAAATATTAAATGGCATCGTATCTACTAGCAAGAATTTTATGTCAACATCTGTGAATTTACCTCTACTTTGAAGTATGTTTGCCTCTCACCTCCCTACATGTGGAAGATTTCATCAATGGAAAAGTGGTGATTAATTGAAAATACAATTGTTTAGATAGGAAAAATAGCATATTTAACAACTGTATCTACACAGTTTCAAAAGATATGGTGCCTGGGATTTGGGGACTTTTGCAAGGTAGACTGCTCTGTGTTATGCAATATTGCTAAGTACCTGTGTTGCCAAGAAAGCAGTTTCAGCATGGACTTCCATGATTCCAAGCAAAGAAATGATTTGATTTTGGATCTTTTCATTAAACTGAGAATAGTAGGGGTGAATCTGATTATAGGTGAAAGCCATGAATCCATTTTCTATATGCAGAGTTTAAATGCTTATAAAATTTTCATTGAAGCAAAATCAACATATTCACAAGAGACTGAAAAAGGATATTTCCGGCTGGGCATGGTGGTTCACGCCTGTAATCCCAGCACTTCACTTTGGGAGGTTAAGGCAGGTGGATCACTTGAGGTCAGGGTTCAAGACAAGCGTGGCCAACATGGTGAAACATACTACAAAAATTAGCCAGGTACAGTGGCAGCGCCTGTTATCCCAGCTACTAGGGAGGCTGAGGCAGGAGAATCACTTGAACCCAGGAGGCGGAGGTTGCAGCGAGCCGAGATCGTGCCACTGCACTCCAGCCTGAGTGATAGTGCAAGACTTCACTTCAAAAAAAAAAAAAAAAATGAAGAAAGAATGGTGGGGGAGGCTCAACCTTTGCTATTTGCTAGGATTACAGGGTCAAAATCAGCTTCTACATTGTCAACACATAACAAGTGAAACTCAAAAATAATGAATACACATATATTTGAAGATTGGAATATAACAAACTTTAAACTTGCCCTGGTACCTTGGCCTTTGAGAGGCACTGAATCCAGCCTGGGCAACATAGTAAGACCCCATCTATACAAAAAAATTTAGAAATTATCCAGGTGTGGTCGTGCATGTCTATAGTCCCAGCTATTCAGGAGGCTGAAGTGAGTTTGAGATTACAGTGAGCTATGATCACGCCACTCCAGCCTGGGCGACAGAGCCTGTCTCAAAACACAAAAAACAAAAGAAAAAAGCTTTGCAGGGCACTCAATCTTCACTGTGGGTGTACTGACTATTCCTGTCACACATAAGATACATCATTAACTGCTAAAAGAAAATTTCAGCTAATTGAAAAAATGAGATGCACCAAGTTTATTTCAAAGCCATATACATCTAAAATCCCTTACAATTGTGTAACAGATCAACAACTGAAATATAAGGAAACAAGGCATTAGTGATGCACATGCTCCAATGAGACCCCGATATCATACAAGGTAACACGCCAAACTATCATTTTATCTTCCAAAATGCATCTGAAAGCTTCTTGATCTACAACACAGAATACTCCAAGATACCAAAGGTAACCCAGAAATTTATCTCTGAGATTTCCCCTATAATTCCTCTATTTTAAGTATTCTTTATGTTTAAGGGAATGGTTGGCGACCTAAATTACCAGACACCCTTCCTCCACACACCCTGGTCCAGGGCCCTTGAAATGTCCCTGGACCTAAGCCCAGAGTTTCTCTCTTCCATCCAGAAACGGAAATGATGTTCTAATTGTTGTCACCATGAAACCGAACACAGCACAAGTAGAAATTTCACCTTCGTTTCATCCTCTAAACAGACAAATCAGGTCCTGGATTAATTAAGCAGGTCTAACTGCCAGTTCCAGGGTGAAACCACGGCCCCACAGGGACCATCCGCTGATGCCCCTGCACCCCTCCTGGTACCTTGAGCTAAAATGAGTTGTGATCCTCTTAAAGGTAGGATGCCTGTCTCCACCTGCAAACAAAACGAGTTTTTCACTTAAATCATTTTCAATGTAAGAGTAAATAAACCTTAGCCTTCAATTAAGCGACCCAGTACAATTCTGTTCTTTTGCCTTAAATTGTTTGAAATGCTGTATTAACTGAAAATAAGCAGGAAGCATCCCTGAACTGAAAATAAGCCGGAAGCATCCCTACTTATTAACTGAAAATAAGCCGGAAGCATCCCCGCCTAATTTTAATTAGCTGAAATTTTCTTTTAGCAGTGCAATGCTGATGATCCAGTCCTAGTGGAGAGAAAATGACCTGGGGCCCAGAGGAGTAGAGAGCCCAGACCCGCTGCTTTCCTGGCCCTGCCGGGTTCCCACAGCCTAGACCGCACCATAGCAGCTTCCACCCTCCCATCCCGCCCTCTTCCACCCCTTTCCCATTGCCCAGACCCCACCCCAGGGCGGCTTCCACCGTTCTCACCCCGCCCCCTCCCCACTATCCAGGCCCCGCACCCACAGTAGTTCCACCCTCCCACCCGACCCTCTTCCACCCCTTTCCCACTGCCCAGACCCCATCCCACGGTGGCTTCCACCCTGCCCACCCTGGTCCCTTGCCACTGTCCAGGTCCCGCCCCCACGGTGGCTTCTACCCTTCCCACCCCACCCCTTCCCAATGCCCAGGCCCCGCCCCCACGGCACCTTCCACCCTCCCACCCAGCCTCCTCCCCACGGCCCAGGCCCCGCCCCACAGCATTTCCACCATCCCACCCGACCCTCTTCCACCCCTTTCCCATTGCCCAGACCCCACCTCACCCTCCCTACCTGGCCTCTCACCACTATCCAAGACCCGCCCCTCGCTGGCCACAGCCCCCACCCAGAATCCGTTTCCAGTTTTCTCACCTGCAGGAGAGCATTCAAACCTGCCTTTCAGGGCACTCCAGCCCCGTCCAGCCACACTTGGAATCCACCATCCCACCAGACGTTAAAATCTCCAGGCGCGCCCACGGGATTGGTAGCGAGTCCCAGGGTTCCCATGGGAAACTCTGAGACCTGGTGGCTCTGCAACTTTTCTATGATTTGAACCCTCTGCTTGATTTGGAGACTGGATTGCTCTTTTTAATACTCCCAGTTGATGGCTGGTGTGCTTCCCAGCTGTCTGCTGGTTTGTTCTCATGAGAGATGACTCCACAGTATCTAGTGTTTGCTTTGCATAACGGATGAGGAATACAAAATGCCTTAATCTAGTGAATATATAAATTGTCTGTTTATGCACCCTGTTCAGTCGTTTATTCACTCGTCTCCCGTGGAATCCTAAGCACAATTATAAAAGAATCCCGTTACACGAGATCAGTGTCTAACACAGACAAAGCCTCTGTCTCAATAACACTAAATAACAATAGCAACATTAAATGAAATATTAGTATTGCTAAAATGGGGGTGTAGTAAAAATTAAATAATAAGTAAATAATTAAAAATAAATGACATATCGCCAGGCGCGGTGACTTATGCTTGTAATCCCAGCACTTTGGGATGCTGAGGTGGGCGGATCATACGAAGTCAGGAGTTCAAGACCAGCCTGACCAACATGGTGAAACTCCATCTCTACTAAAAATACAAAAAAATTACCCAGGAGTGGTGGCTCATGTCTGTAGACCCAGCTACTCGGGAGGCTGAGGCAGGAGAACTGCTTGAACCCGGGAGACAGAGGTTGCAGTCAGCTGACATCGCACCACTGCACTCCAGCCTGGGAGACAGAACGAGACTCCGTCTCAAAATGAATGAATGAATGAATGAATGAATGAATGAATGAATATTAGGCCATTTTTATGGGAGACGGATGTATGCAGGGGACTTGTTTGTCCTTGGGGTGGTCTTTATTGTGAGAAGAGAGCTGAGCAGGACCAGCTGAGGGGCAGAGCCAAGGACCCTTCATGGAGACACTCTGCTTGCCCAACAGGTGGAAGGGCAAGCGTAAGTTCACCCCGAAACACATCTGGCTGACTATGGGATCGTTGTCTGAGGCTGAGCAGACCCACTTGGCCAATAAAAGACCCTAAACTCTGCAAAAAGAAGAGAGACCTCTCTGTGCCCAGACCCCTACACAGAAAAAAGGTCCTGGGGTCTAAGATTTCTCACTTGCCAATGATGTTGGCTTGAATATTATTCCCACCCAAATCCTTGGGTCTCGTGTGGGACAAACTGACCGTAGACATGCAGGAAGTGA